AATGAGCTGTTGTAACGTTTGGTTGTGTCGCTGAAACAACTGGTCGTCCTGGTGAGAGGGCTTTGCGAATCTTCTCCTCAAAACAACAATTCTTTTCAATCATAAATTATCGCGATAAACACTGACGAATCAATGCAATCTTGTGTTCATTCACAGAATCGATAACATTTTTTTTGTTGAATAGTTTTCATTGAATGATCATTCTATTGGGATAAACGCAAGCAACTTCATTCGTCCAGTTCGCGTTAAAATCATATCACAATAACCTAAGAGCAAACCACCCATCTTCCCATCCCCCCAAATTTTGCAAAGACTTCCGAAGCGAACGATTTTCCATAAATGGAATGTAAATACTCAACAATCCTCGTCAAGTGCTATTCAAAACAAAGAAATTAACTGCAATAAAACTAATAATACCTGTTCAGCAATCACCGCTTTGACGGCTTCGACATACGGTGACTGGTTTGGTTTCGTTATTGCTGATTGCTGATATCTGAAATATACATTGAACTGATTACAATTCATAACATTACTCACATCGACCATTCCACTTCTACACAGATACAAATTTAAATGAAGTGAATATAAACTCCATACTCGATTTGACATGAATTTTGTTCAAAATAGATTGTAAAAAATATGACAACTGATGAATGCTTTCCATTGATGTAATTATCAAACAATTAAGATATAGTGAAGAGTATCATTGAACTTGTTTTGATTATCAACTGAATGTTATCAACAATAAACACGACGCGAAATGAAGGTGTGCATAACTAATAAAACATAATATCATTAACCTAGACGCAGACGATGCACCATAACCAGGTATTCGACTTGGTGTTAAAGTTTTGTTCGGTGATGAGAATAAATCCGGACTTTTCAAATCCTTCCGCTGAAAAAAACGAAAACGCTTCATTAAGTAAGATATAGATTCTTTGCAAAAGCTTCCTGATAACATATCTATAATTTTTTATGATAACGACAACAGGACAAGTGTTTCTCCTTGGATATGAAAAGTGGTTGGGGGCAAGAAAATTATCAGAAAACCTAGAAAATACTGACAACTGATGAGAAGAGAAACGGTATATGCACCTCCGCTATTGGTAAATAAATAAACGAATGAATAAACTGATCGATATTTGCGAGGATATTGGAAAAAAAGCGCTTTGAAACAAGAGAATTACCGTTAGTGCTCGAAATCGTGACGGACTTGCTTCTGTGATACGAGAAACATGATCACGCGACAAGTGCACTGGTAAATGGCTGAGATCATTCACTGGCGGGGATATTACTTCTTGTTTTATTCGTTTCTGAAAATTGCAACTCTTCGTATTATCAACCTATGTAACATTCACTAATTCCATCACTGAAATACTCCTGGAGAATAGATGAAGAATATGAAAAAATGTACCGGAATCGATTTTGGAGTTGCAACCTTTTGGATGTTTTGTTTTCGAATCGCCGTATGAACACTGCAAATTTTGATGCATTTTGAATTTTTTTTTTGATTATTTATGAAAAAAAACAACCAATTATTAATACTGTTGATTCAGGAATTCAAATCCACCTTACGAAATTACCATTTCGCATTTTTAAAAATGAATCTGTTCTCATAAATAACTTCGATCAATTGATATATAACGACAAAAAAGCATTTGAAAGGACTGCATTTGGACACATATTATTTTGTTCGCTGATCCATTCCACAAATAAAATGTACCGTGAACTGGGTTGGTCATCGTCTTCTTCGTTTGTGAATCCGCTCGTATGCGATGTTAACAGCTCCTTCTTTCTCGAGTCAAAACTCGATTTAACACGCATCATATAATTGTTGCGTTGCGGTGTTTTTGGTATTCTCTTTTGACCACTTCTTAACAAATAACCAACAATTCAGTTATGCTCTTTTATTTTTCATCATCTCGGACCGATTATAAATTAACTCAAACATCTGTTTTGAATACAAATGAGTGTCCGTGTCAACAATGGTAATTAGTATTGAACAAGTGTTGAAAACAGCCTAAAATGATTACAAGTGATACTTATAAATCTGCTCAACAATGAAACGATAGGAACGAATTGAGTAAATGAAATAAACCAACTTGTGAAGTATGATTTGTTTTGCATTTTCTTTCTGATGCATCATCCAATCCAATAGCGAATCTAACGGCTCCATATACTGCTCGTAGAACAGCCTCTTCACATGATCATCGATTGCAACGTATCCAAGACTTCAATGAAGCACTCACTTATCAATAGTACCAATAACGTATTCATAGTGAGATAAATTCATTTCATCAAATTATTTTTTGCACACACTTATTCACTTTACTTTAATGTTTATTCAAAACCTCAAAATATATGATCACTATTGACCATTATTATCATAAGAGGAAAAATATGATCGTGATAATCCTTGTGAACAACAAAGCAATTGAACAAAGGGGGAAGGATTCATTAAATAAAAAATTAGACATTAGGCGTGAAACGCAAAAAGGGAAGTTAAGATGTTCAGATGGACGAGTGCGGTAAATCTTAGCTATTTTCAGACAGAAATAGAAGTAATCATATGGTTTATCGATAAAGTTGAACAATATACAACAAATGCAGATATTTTCAAGCAAAAAAACTGGTTGAATTCTCGAAAATAAGCGCAAAATAAGCATGATTAAAGAAAGATGATAGTTACATACGATTGATCGTTGAGAAAACGTTGCACAATCGGGTTGCTGCAACGTTGACGATTTTTCTCCCTTACCATATTGCTTGTGCTGAAATGGGTGGTATATCCTGAAATTGATTTCTTCGTAAGGCAAATATTTAAAAAAAAACAGAAAAAAGCACAACCGTACGGAATTTTCTATTGTGTATATTGCTGATAAAGCATCCTCGACATGGTGTTCATTAATCGACACATTACTGAACAAAAACCTCAGCTGTATTTTACAATACCCTTCCTAATCTACCTTTCAATCGTACTTGATCCATACCTAACTTCACCACGGTACCTCTTGAACTACACTGATTTTAAGGAAACGTTTTTTTTCCGGAAAAACCAAAACCTTAAACCTATCGCTTTTTCATGAGATATCATCGGTTGGTTCTACTAACGATAAGAGCTCTAATGTGTCTCATGAAAGAGTTGAACAAGAAGTCAATGTTTTCGTTCATTTACTTTAGGCAGGAAGGGCTGACGTGCAGGACACAGTCCCGTAATTTTTTGACGATGCCAATGTGGGCCGATACTATAATATTTGTTAAAAAATCCGATTCGATCACATCTATTAAAACTATAAACTCATTTGATCTCTGGCAAACATCGGAAATCCTCTCAGTCACGTTCCTCACATCGTGACTGAGGTTCAGCTCACGCCGGAGCGCAAAATACGCTCAGATTCAGTTTGCAAATTCGCGAACAAACCTCATTTTCAGTTATAAACTTGATTGCGGGCATCGATTAAGATTATAAAACACAAAGAATATGGAAATTACAAACACTGATTAACAAAAACGTAAAACTTGCACATGAAAAAGGGCAATAAGCAAGGAAAGTCCCTGCAACTCATGCTCCAATTCATGTTTCCAAGCAAAAAATTATTAGCATACGAAATATGTAATGAAAATTTTCAAACATATTCAAACTTCCCACTTTCTTATGTTCCCTCCATAACCCATTCTCCCTCTAAAAGAGCTCAATAGACAATCTCTCAGCATTGTACTATATATAAAATGGGCGTGTGCCAAAGCAACAGCGAAGGCATACTCAAACAATAGAAGAATTTGAGATATTCCAAAGCAATATTTTATGGTAAATCACAAACAGTGATTTTAATCTCCCATGTAAATCCGAACTAGAACAATGGCCTGACTATGAGTGAGAGCTTGATACGCAGTTTGTGCTCGAAGCTAATTTGAGCGAATAAGGGTGAATGTACGTCATACACCCTGAAATACTGTCTCGTATCTCCAAATGGTGCGAGCACCCTGATCTAATGTATGCATTGAAATCATTAAAGTGCGGCAGTAATGATCGTTGTAATATCCACACGAACAAGGTTTCCTCATTAGCACAAATTAGCAAAAGGATTTAGAAGGCACAGAGCACAGTTCACCTAGAACGACGATACATTTAGGTACAATGGTGCGATTACATAGACGAGAGAAAATTAGAACGAAGAGAGTAGATGTCAGGTAGACATAGAAAGACTCACTACTTTGGCAATATCTCATGTGTATGCGAGTACTTTTTATTGGAGAGATCGCACTTTTTACGAAAATCTCGAAATTTTCGTGGATTTTCACGGATTTTTCAAGCTATATTTGATTATTCAATCTTGAAATGTTCCTTTTCTATGATTGCTGCTGCCAGGGTTTGTTATTATAGGGAATTCGGGTATTGCATCATCAAATAGTGCAGTTGCCGTCACAATTTCCAATTTCATCTTTCAATCGCACTCGAATATTGCAAGAGAAAGTTTGTGTGCTGAGATGTATCAATCGTTGTTGATGCTTTTCGTGGCCTTATGAAAGCGTTTTTACATGACCGTTTATTTTTAATTCATATTTTCATTCGCACGTGTATATTCTAGGCAGCTAAACGCTTTGGATGACCATATTAGGTGGCGAGAGCTTACCAGGTCGGGAAGCGGTGGTTCCAATCTCTTCAGCTCATCGTCAGAGGCTAGTCGATTTGTTATCTCACTTTATTTCAGATTCAGATATTCTTTGGTTGGTCCTTGTCATCAGACACATGAGCTGGGGTAAAACAGCCACCTAGGGATTTTCCCGTATTACCTTTTGTTTCTTAACTAAGTTAGAGGCGCAGATGTGGGGTTTTCCAGTACCCATGTTGGTGTGGGAATGCATG